ACCTCGCCCTGCCACTCACACCTCGCCCTGCCACTCACACCTCGCCCTGCCACTCACACCTCGCCCTGCCACTCACACCTCGCCCTGCCACTCACACCTCGCCCTGCCACTCACACGTCGCCCTGCCACTCACACCTCGCCCTGCCACTCACACCTCGCCCTGCACTCACACCTCGCCCTGCCACTCACACGTCGCCCTGCCACTCACACGTCGCCCTGCCACTCACACCTCGCCCTGCCACTCACACCTCGCCCTGCCACTCACACCTCGCCCTGCCACTCACACCTCGCCCTGCCACTCACACCTCGCCCTGCCACTCACACCTCGCCCTGCCACTCACACCTCGCCCTGCCACTCACACCTCGCCCTGCCACTCACACCTCGCCCTGCCACTCACACCTCGCCCTGCACCCACACCTCGCCCTGCCACTCACACCTCGCCCTGCCACTCACACCTCGCCCTGCCACTCACACCTCGCCCTGCACTCACACCTCGCCCTGCCACTCACACCTCGCCCTGCCACTCACACCTCGCCCTGCCACTCACACCTCGCCCTGCCACTCACCCCTCGCCCAGCCACTCACACCTCGCCCTGCCACTCACACGTCGCCCTGCCACTCACACCTCGCCCTGCCACTCACACCTCGCCCTGCCACTCACACCTCGCCCTGCCACTCACACCTCGCCCTGCCACTCACACCTCGCCCTGCCACTCACACCTCGCCCTGCCACTCCCCCTCGCCCTGCCACTCACACCTCGCCCTGCCACTCACCCCTCGTCCTGCCACTCACCCCTCGCCCTGCCACTCACACCTCGCCCTGCCACTCACACCTCGCCCTGCACTCACACCTCGCCCTGCCACTCACACCTCGCCCTGCCACTGCGTCCATTGCCACTCCACTCCCTGTTCGGCGCGATAAAATCTATTTCTGAAAATTCATTTTTTTTACAAATAACACTGCACGCGATGTGACGGGATAAATCCAGCGATGCGCATGGCACGACTATGCCCACGATGCCTCGCAGTGCAATGACAGCCAAGATGTAATGGGGCGCTTCGTGACCAATTGTTGTAATCCGCTTAATGATCACCCGTTCATCTCGAGCGATCTGACGTGAAACCACGGAGCATGCGGACGCCTCGCGTACTCGTGGGGAAGCCTCCTCCGTCTGCTGCTGCTGCTGTGTGTGTTGTGGTGTGTTGTTGTTGTGTGTGTTGTTGTTGTGTGTGTTGTTGTTGTGTGTGTGTTGTTGTGTTGTGTGTGTTGTTGTTGTGTGTGTTGTTGTGTATGTTGTTGTGTGTTGTGTGTGTTGTTGTGTGTTGTGTGTGTTGTGGTGTGTGTGTGTTGTGTGTTGTTGTTGTGTGTGTTGTTGTGTATGTTGTTGTGTGTGTTGTGGTGTGTGTGTTGTTGTGTGTGTTGTTGTGTTGTTGTTGTTGTGTTGTTGTGTGTGTGTGTTGCTGTGTGTGTGTTGTGTGTGTGCTGCTGTGTGTGCTGTGTGTTGTTGTGTGTGTGTTGTTGTGTTGTTGTGTGTGTGTGTTGCTGTGTGTGTGCTGCTGTGTGTGCTGTGTGTGTTGTGTGTGTGTGTTGCTGTGTTTGTGTTGCTGTGTGTGTGTGTTGCTGTGTGTGTGTTGTGTGTGTTGCTGTGTTTGTGTTGCTGTGTGTGTGTTGCTGTGTGTGTGTTGTGTGTGTTGCTGTGTTTGTGTTGCTGTGTTTGTGTTGCTGTGTTTGTGTGTGTTGCTGTGTGTGCTGCTGTGTGTTGTGTGTGTTGCTGTGTTTGTGTTGCTGTGTTTGTGTTGCTGTGTTTGTGTGTGTTGCTGTGTGTGTGTGTTGCTGTGTTTGTGTTGCTGTGTTTGTGTGTGTTGCTGTGTGTGCTGCTGTGTGTTGTGTGTGTTGCTGTGTTTGTGTGTGTTGCTGTGTTTGTGTGTGTTGCTGTGTTTGTGTGTGTTGCTGTGTGTGTTGCTGTGTGTGTGTGTTGCTGTGTTTGTGTGTGTTGCTGTGTATGCTGCTGTGTGTTGTGTGTGTGTGATCTGTACTGAGCCGTGTACTGTCACGCTGCGTGTGTGCTGCGTGTTATGGAGTACGTGTCACGCGGCGTGTGCGGGCTGCATGTACACGCCGTGTACAGTGTGCACACTGTACACGGCGTGGTAGTGGTGGTACCTGTGTGTGTGGTAGTGGTAGTACCTGTGTGTGGTAGTGGTAGTGGTGGTACCCGTGTGTGTGGTAGTGGTAGTATCTGTGTGTGGTAGTGGTTGTGGTGGTACCTGTGTGTGGTAGTGGTAGTGGTGGTACCTGTGTGTGGTAGTGGTGGTGCCTGTGTGTGGTAGTGGTGGTGGTACCTGTGTGTGGTAGTGGTGGTGGTGGTGACCTGTGTGTGTGGTAGTGGTAGTACCTGTGTGGTAGTGGTGGTGGTGCCTGTGTGTGGTAGTGGTGGTGGTACCTGTGTGTGTTTTAGTGGTGGTGGTGGTGACCTGTGTGTGTGGTAGTGGTAGCACCTGTGTGGTAGTGGTGGTGGTGCCTGTGTGTGGTAGTGGTGGTGGTGGTACCTGTGTGTGGTAGTGGTGGTGGTGCCTGTGTGTGGTAGTGGTGGTGGTACCTGTGTGAGTAGTGGTGGTGGTGCCCGTGTGTGGTAGTGGTGGTGCCTGTGTGTGGTAGTGGTGGTGGTGACCTGTGTGTGTGGTAGTGGTAGTACCTGTGTGTGGTAGTGGTGGTGGTGGTGGTACCTGTGTGTGGTAGTGGTGGTGGTGGTACCTGTGTGAGTAGTGGTGGTGGTGGTACCTGTGTGAGCAGTGGTGGTGGTGCCTGTGTGTGGTGGTGGTGGTGGTGGTGCCTGTGTGTGGTAGTGGTGGTGGTGGTGGTACCTGTGTGAGTAGTGGTGGTGGTGGTGCCTGTGCGTGGTAGTGGTGGTGGTGATACCTGTGTGTGGTAGTGGTAGTGGTGGTGGTACCTGTGTGAGTAGTGGTGGTGGTGGTACCTGTGTGAGTAGTGGTGGTGGTGCCTGTGTGTGGTCGTGGTGGTGGTGGTGGTACCTGTGTGAGTAGTGGTGGTGGTGCCTGTGTGTGGTAGTGGTGGTGGTACCTGTGTGAGTAGTGGTGGTGGTGGTGGTACCTGTGTGTGGTAGTGGTGGTGGTACCTGTGTGAGTAGTGGTGGTGGTGGTACCTGTGTGAGTAGTGGTGGTGGTGCCTGTGTGTGGTAGTGGTGGTGGTACCCGTGTGTGGTAGTGGTGGTGGTGCCTGTGTGTGGTAGTGGTGGTGGTAGTGGTACCTGTGTGTGGTAGTGGTGGTGGTGGTGGTGCCTGTGTGTGGTAGTGGTGGTGGTACCTGTGTGAGTAGTGGTGGTGGTGCCTGTGTGTGGTAGTGGTGGTGCCTGTGTGTGGTAGTGGTGGTGGTGGTGGTACCCGTGTGTGGTAGTGGTGGTGGTACCTGTGTGAGTAGTGGTGGTGGTTCCTGTGTGTGGTAGTGGTGGTGCCTGTGTGTGGTAGTGGTGGTGCCTGTGTGTGGTAGTGGTGGTGGTGCCTGTGTGTGGTAGTGGTAGTGGTGGTGGTAGTGGTACCTGTGTGTGGTAATGGTAGTGGTGGTGGTGGTGGTGCCTGTGTGTGGTAGTGGTGGTGGTGGTGGTACCCGTGTGTGGTAGTGGTGGTGGTGGTGCCTGTGTTTGGTAGTGGTGGTAGTGGTGGTGGTGGTACCTGTGTGTGGTAGTGGTGGTGCCTGTGTGTGGTAGTGGTGGTGGTGGTGCCTGTGTGTGGTAGTGGTGGTGGTGCCTGCGTGTGGTAGTGGTGGTGGTGGTAGTGGTGGTAGTGGTGGTGGTAGTGGTGGTGGTGGTAGTGGTGCCTGTGTGTGTGGTGGTGGTGCCTGTGTGTGGTAGTGGTGGTGGTGGTGGTACCTGTGTGGTGGTAGTGGTAGTGGTGGTGGTGCCTGTGTGTGGTAGTGGTGGTGGTGGTGGTACCTGTGTGTGGTAGTGGTGGTGGTGGTGCCTGTGTGTGGTAGTGGTGGTGGTGGTGGTACCTGTGTGGTGGTAGTGGTGGTGGTGCCTGTGTGTGGTAGTGGTGGTGGTGCCTGTGTGGTGGTAGTGGTGGTGGTGGTGGTGCCTGTGTGTGGTAGTGGTGGTGGTGGTGGTACCTGTGTGTGGTAGTGGTAGTGGTGGTGGTGCCTGTGTGTGGTAGTGGTGGTGGTGCCTGTGTGTGGTAGTGGTGGTGGTGCCTGTGTGGTGGTAGTGGTGGTGGTGCCTGTGTGTGGTAGTGGTGGTGGTGCCTGTGTGTGGTGGTGGTGGTGGTGCCTGTGTGTGGTAGTGGTGGTGGTGGTGCCTGTGTGTGGTAGTGGTGGTGGTGGTGGTAGTGGTGGTGGTGGTAGTGGTGGTGCCTGTGTGTGTGGTAGTGGTGGTGGTACCTGTGTGGTGGTGCCTGTGTGGTTGTGGTGGTTGTGGTGGTGGTGGTACCTGTGTGGTGGTAGTGGTGGTGGTGCCTGTGTGGTGGTAGTGGTGGTGGTGCCTGTGTGTGGTAGTGGTGGTGGTGCCTGTGTGTGGTGGTGGTGGTGGTGCCTGTGTGTGGTAGTGGTGGTGGTGGTGCCTGTGTGTGGTAGTGGTGGTGGTGGTGCCTGTGTGTGTGGTAGTGGTGGTGGTACCTGTGTGGTGGTGCCTGTGTGGTTGTGGTGGTTGTGGTGGTGGTGGTACCTGTGTGGTGGTAGTGGTGGTGGTGCCTGTGTGGTGGTAGTGGTGGTGGTGCCTGTGTGTGGTAGTGGTGGTGGTGCCTGTGTGTGGTGGTGGTGGTGGTGCCTGTGTGTGGTAGTGGTGGTGGTGGTGCCTGTGTGTGGTAGTGGTAGTGGTGGTGCCTGTGTGTGTGGTAGTGGTGGTGGTACCTGTGTGGTGGTGCCTGTGTGGTTGTGGTGGTTGTGGTGGTGGTGGTACCTGTGTGGTGGTAGTGGTGGTGGTGCCTGTGTGGTGGTAGTGGTGGTGGTGCCTGTGTGTGGTGGTGGTGGTGGTACCCGCGTCTGCGTCACCTGCAAGCTGGAGGTTCCTGCAGTCGAACCCGGGTCCTGGTAGCAGCACGGGGCGCCTGGTCCCCCTGGTCCCCCTGGGACCGCCTTGGTCTCCCTTGGGCCCCCTGGTCCCCCTGGTACCCCTGGTCTCCCACGCTGCTGCTGCTGCTGCTGCTGCCGCTCTCCTCTCTCTCCGAACTCTGCGCCTCTCGCAGGGAGCGCGGGGAGGCGGCACCGCGAGCCCCTCCCCCCTCGTCCCCCTCTCCCCCGACCCCTCCCCCCCCTCCTCCTCCGCCTCGGCTCCTCCTCTCACTCGCCCACAGTCTCCTCCTCCCCTGCCTCCTCCCGCCCCTCTCTCTCAACATCCCCCCCCCTCGCTCCCCCCGCTCCCCCCTCGCCCCCCCCTCGCCCCCCCCTCCTCCCCCCTCGCGCCCCCTCGCTCCCCCCTCGCTCCCCCCCTCCTCCCCCCTCGCTCCCCCCTCGCCCCCCCTCGCCCCCCCCTCCTCCCCCCTCGCCCCCCCCCTCCTCCCCCCTCGCTCCCCCCTCGCCCCCCCTCGCCCCCCCCTCCTCCCCCCTCGCCCCCCCCTCCTCCCCCCTCGCGCCCCCCTCGCTCCCCCTCGCCCCCCCTCGCCCCCCCCTCCTCCCCCCTCGCTCCCCCCCTCCTCCCCCCTCGCTCCCCCCTCGCCCCCCCTCGCCCCCCCCTCCTCCCCCCTCGCCCCCCCCTCCTCCCCCCTCGCGCCCCCCTCGCTCCCCCCTCGCTTCCCCCCTCCTCCCCCCTCGCCCCCCCTCGCTCCCCCTCGCCCCCCCTCCTCCCCCAGCCCCCCCCAGCCCCGCCGCTGTCGGCAAGCGACTGCCGCCGCCGCCGCTGCGCTCCCCAAGGCGGCGGGGAGGGCGGGGGCGATGGCTCGGAGCGTGCGGCACGAGAAGAATGGGATCCAAGAAGGGAATTGTTTCCTTGTAGCGGCCACGAGCGGCGTCGTGCGCTGTGGCTGTGGGGTTGTTTAAAAAAATGTTGTTTGCATTACCGGTAACCGCATGAAAAAAGCCGGCTTTAAAGCGGTAACCGGTTTGCCGCACATAAAGAGATGCTCGGCAAGAAACACGTTTAACCCTTTTTAACTGACAGCTAAAATATGTGGCCGTATTACTGCATCGATCGCCGACTCTATTTGGAGTTGGTGGTCTGGACTAGGCTGAGAGCATTGCCACGCTGCGCAGCGCTCACGTGGCGTGCACGGCTGGTGCCTCCCTGCCTGCAGCCTGCTGTGTGTGAGCAGCAGCAGCAGCGTCAGCACCTTCGCGTGTTACTGTTTCTGTTTCCAGCCCGCAGCTTCCTCCCACTGTGGTGGTGGGTTCTCCCATCATACACACAGGTTTCAATGTCCACGTTGATTTCGTGTAACCAGGCGAGAATTCGAGAAAGCCGGATAGGAGTCTGATTCGCAAGAATGACCTGGGGCACCACAATGACAAAAGCTAAACAAATAAATACAGCAACGAGGCAAATGGCAATCAGACCAAAAGCAACCGTTGGATTTCAACGAATGAGGGTTAGTTACATTGTGGCAATCACAAAACCAGCATGAGTCCAGTACACAGCTGAACTGTTGATGATCACCAGTGAGGATGAAGCCAGTCGCGTCTAGATTTCAAATTGCTATCACGTTTTTTCTGCATCTTTAGGCCACACGGCCGTGTTTGGTGCAGCTCACTCTGAGTAGGAAGACGTCAGGCGCTGTCATCGAACCTGCCCGCACGTGTGAGCGCTGCCACGGGTCATGCTCACACTCTCAATTTGAGGTTTCCGCGTCTTTATTCTGTGGTCAGAGACCTTCGCCCGGGGGTCCGTGATGTAATTGAAGCCACACCGGGATTTCCACATGAGATAGGGCACAGGCGGCAAAGCATTACAACCTCGTGTTCGCCACGACTGGGTTGCTTCAACGAAAGTAACTCGTTTGTATTTGCCCAAGTAAAGGCCACTGGCCACAAATGATAGCTCAACGAAGTGGTTTATTATGCGGAAATCAAAAGCAGCCAGATATTCTAAACGCATGTTTCTAAATGTGGAGAGAAAAACCAGAGGACCCGAGAAAAATTCACGCGACCAATTGGAGAGACATGTGACCTCGAGATACACCAGGGTCGGGATCGAAGCCTCCTGTATACCAGGCGATGTAGTGAGCATCTCGCCACAGGCACGGTGACACAGAGACACACAGAGAGAGACGCAACACACAGAAAGGGCACGGAGACACAGACACAGAGACCAGGAGACACAGAGACAGAGACCAGGAGACACAGACACAGAGACCAGGAGACACAGAGACAGAGACAAGGAGACACAGACACAGAGACCAGGAGACACAGAGACCAGGAGACACAGAGACAGAGACCAGGAGACACAGAGACCAGGAGACACAGAGACAGAGACCAGGAGACACAGACACAGAGACCAGGAGACACAGAGACCAGGAGACACAGACACAGAGACCAGGAGACACAGAGACCAGGAGACACAGACACAGAGACCAGGAGACACAGAGACAGAGACCAGGAGACACAGAGACAGAGACCAAGAGACACAGACACAGAGACCAGGAGACACAGAGACCAGGAGACACAGACACAGAGACCAGGAGACACAGAGACAGAGACCAGGAGACACAGAGACAGAGACCAAGAGACACAGACACAGAGACCAGGAGACACAGAGACCAGGAGACACAGAGACAGAGACCAGGAGACACAGAGACCAGGAGACACAGAGACAGAGACCAGGAGACACAGAGACAGAGACCAAGAGACACAGACACAGAGACCAGGAGACACAGAGACCAGGAGACACAGACACAGAGACCAGGAGACACAGAGACAGAGACCAGGAGACACAGAGACAGAGACCAAGAGACACAGACACAGAGACCAGGAGACACAGAGACCAGGAGACACAGAGACAGAGACCAGGAGACACAGAGACCAGGAGACACAGAGACAGAGACCAGGAGACACAGAGACAGAGACCAGGAGACACAGAGACCAGGAGACACAGAGACCAGGAGACACAGAGACCAGGAGACACAGAGACAGAGACCAGGAGACACAGAGACAGAGACCAGGAGACACAGAGACCAGGAGACACAGAGACCAGGAGACACAGAGACAGAGACCAGGAGACACAGAGACAGAGACCAGGAGACACAGAGACCAGGAGACACAGAGACCAGGAGACACAGAGACAGAGACCAGGAGACACAGAGACAGAGACCAGGAGACACAGAGACCAGGAGACACAGAGACCAGGAGACACAGAGACCAGGAGACACGTGACGCCCTCGCCAATGTTTGTAACTTCACAATGCGGAGTGCTGCGGAGCGCTCCAGCCCCCGTAGCCCCCAACCCACTAACCCCCCCCCCCCCCCCCCCCGTGGAGGGTGTCATGGATTGCCATGGCAGGGCTGGAGAGACGGCTGGAAGTGACGCGCGCTGCGTTGGCAGTGGTGCACAAGGAGAACCAACAACAACAACGACGACGCATTCGTCAATAGCAGAACTCGACTGTGCCGTGGCCTCAAAGGAAAATATAACAGGCGACGTTTCGGACATTGCTCCTGCTTCACCAGCACTTAGATCTACAAACGCGTCGTTCCCTTGTAAGGCATCGCTATCGATGGGCTACAGCCCTGCTGTGCCGCTCACGCCGAAGGCGACCTGCGCCCTGGCGGGCAGCGAGCGGGGCGCGTGGCGCCGTCACGAGCAGCGCCACTGCCCGAACCACAGCTCAGGGTCAGCGGCAGCAGCGGCGGCAGCGGCGGGGCCATGGGGAATGCGGATCGTGACCCGGGACCGGCGAGCAATGCAGACAAACCGGATCGAGTCGGCAGCGCTCAGCGGCACGACCCTCCTTGGGGCCTTAATGGATGTTGTATTGATATTTACCAGACGGAATACATGGAATGTGCTCGTTATTGATGTAGGGCGCTATTTAATCTGTCGATTTTCCATCGTAACTTCACTTGCAATTGCATTTGGCAAATACTGCATTCTGGTTTGTTTACATATTAGTACAACAGTCATCCTATATCTGTTTGTTTCTGTGGCTTCATTTTGTGATTGTGCTATGATCAGTTTGAACATAATCTTTCACGATCCGACTCGCGCTACAGATTTATGTTTCTGCAGTATATTCGATTTCTCACGTGACGCAGTTGTTTTTGCGCCGATTTATATTAAATTCATCATTGCTGTAATTTATTTCATTTGTTTGCTGTTGTCATTTTGGTGACCCAGGTTACCCTTGCAAACGCGACTCTATCCTGGTCAATAGATCGCAAACGAACTTCTTTAGAACTGCTTATTGTGCTTAGTTTGTTTTCCTTCCCCCACACCTCCAATCAGCACGGTTGGCTACGTACGGTGCGAAAAAAGTTCAACATACACACACTCTCAGCTGGTCTCACGAAATCAACGTCACTTGACTTTAACAACCTTGACATCTCAGAACCGCCCCCATCCCCTGGGAAGTTTCACCTCTGGCCACCGCTGGAAAGTCTCCTCGGCTCAAGGAAGGACCACAGGACGCGTTCATTAAAGACAATAAGCCGATTGCACCGTAAGTTGGGCAGATTTAATGTAACACTTCCAGCTCCCTTGTGGGCGCACATTCATAACCTCGCAGCTCCTATTTAAGGCCAACGACAAGGACATATTCACCATGTTGGCTGCTGTCTGATGATGCTGGCTGTAGTACCAGCGACACGTCTGTACGCAGTCGTTCCACGTGGTGTGTGTGGGTCGCTCTCCAACGACACAGCGGCGGTGCTGCTGACGCGCTGAGAACTTGGCGCGTGTGTTCATCACGTGACGACCTTTGAAATTTCTGTGTCGGTTGGCAGGAGAGTTTACGACACACATTTCACTTTTTAGATCTGTACCAAAAATCTATTATGGCTCATGTAATTTAATCACCTTCGTGGTTATTAATCTGGAAATATGTCTGCATACAATGTAATACATGTGAACAAATGTGTTCACTGCTCATTCGTCAATGGGTACGTGTGTGTGGATCAACAGGCACAGGACTCATTGGGAGACATCACCCAGAGTACGGGCGGGTCTCGGAAGCTCCCAAAGGGAGAGGAGACTCCTGAAATGTATAGATTTTGAAATAGGACCCTACGGTAATAAAACAATAAAACAACATTCAACGTATGTTGTCCTGTAAATATCAATAGCATACCAACCGGCAGGGTCTCAAGGGGGTGCGTTCACAGATTGTGGCCGTGCAGCCCAAACTAACAACCATGTGGTGAACCACTCAAGTGTGCGCTCCTTCAAAGGAGGAGGAGGAACAGAAAACTACACAAACTCTCTCCCGAATCCCTCTCGTCGTGGCCAATATCTATCGACATTGGCACTGTGCCTCTGCACGTATCGCTGCTGCCACCACACGCAAGAACAGAGTAGAAACAGTTGCCTGGACATTTGAGAATCACGCGTGAGTCGCCTGGGTTGTTCCCTGTTGGTTGTTGTTGTTTTTAGGAGTGAGGTTCGCGCCGTGCGCTGTCCGCTCCCTGGCCTCCTCCTCATCTACGCCGCCGCCGCCGCCGCTGCTGCTGCTCTCGATCGTGAATATTTAATGTCGAGGGAACGGGCCGAGTGAAGGGGAGGGAGAGCGCGGGATGAGTGCCGGAGAATCACCGGGGCCAGGGGACGGATGTGGTTTCTCGGGGCTCCCAAGGGGCCGCGCCGCCTCGCCCCCTGCTTCCCGCAGCTCTTCCGCCCATTAGCGCGCGTGACGGCGGTAAGGCGATACCGGAGTGCTGCTGCTGCTCCTGCTGCTCCTGCTGCTGCTGCTAATGCACCGCGCTGGCGTAGGAGCAGCAGCAGCAGGAGGAGGAGCACTGCTCTCACGACGGAGGCTCTCTCCGGCGCACGGGGCGAGCAGCCAGTCGTGCCGAGTGCCCAGGGAGCACACGAGAGAGGGCTCGCTGGGTTTATTGCGCTCGCTTACTCCAGGAAAGCCTCGCACAGTCTCAAGACTACTTTTAAGCAGGGACATGCCAAATGTTGGCAGTCGTGGGCGATGTCGCTGCTGTGTTTAATCAAATTAAGTTTATAATTTGCAGGTCATTATTCCGAACTTGGGGCTTTTGGCTAATGGTAGTTACAGTGTATGGTTTTTTTTATGTCTTGATGGAAATTGAGAAAGCCCAGGCAGTACACGAGGAGAACATACAAACTCCACGCAGCAGAAAGGCACCCGAGTTGGGAATCAAACCCAGTTGCTTCTTGATGTGAGGCACGATTGTTCGCACTGGCGCTGCCGCTCGGGGAAGGCGAATATGCGAGTCATCAGTCGTCACACTTTGTTATGCTCACACATTTACCCGCGCGTTTCCACTGAATGTGAATTCCGATACAGCGACCCGAGCTATGGACATTTGCATCCTGCCGGGTGACCGTGTGGCATCTCTCTCCTTCGCAGGCGTCACAGAGAAAGCTGGCGGGACATGGCAGAGAAGACGACACGGTTTCATCATTGTGCAGAGCAGCTGGACTCCATTGGCGAGTCTACTATGGCTGTCAGCATTTGCTGGCTAAAATGACGACCAACTCGTAGGTCGGGCATGGGCATCCTATGGATCGGCTGAGCTAGAGATGTGTTAAATGACAGTACGGGCTTTCCTCACTTTATGTGGGTTCGGTTTGTACGATTTCGCATACGCGCGGTTATAACCTAATTCTACCCCCAAAATGATCTACTAAGCGGCTTGAATTCACTCTGCATGCGGCTGTACGATCTGACGTGGGGCAGCGTTGTGTGCGTGTGTGTGCACATCACTGTGCGCGCTACCCGGCAGGCAGCCGTCTCCTCGTGCGGTCTCGCTTTGTGCGCCCTATTCTTGAAACGCATCTTACTACGACTAACGCGTAACGCGAGGGAAACCTGCACATGGGATTTGTGTGCACAACTCAGTTGCTCGTGTCACATGGACGACGTGTGGAAAGGCACACACGTGTGCATGTGTCCGTGCGCGTTCTGTGAGTGTACAGTCAACGTCAATTTATACAAATACCAGAGCGATGTTCCACGTTCTTGAATTATTTTCTCTCCCGCTGCTCCGTTGACACTGCCATTCGGAATCCCGGCAGTGATGAATGTTCAATTCCAACTGAATGTGGAAGAGAGGGAGAGTAATTCTCTTGCGATGACGGCACGCCCTAATGAAAATCCACTCAACCCCATTTAGTGGATTTCCGATAGTCAAGCTCGCACCGCGTGAATCTCGCTAATGCGATGCACAGGACGACGAGTCCAAGCTCAACATCTCGCGTCAGGCCCCTGCCAACCACGAGCAAGCCCGCAGGCTCTGTGAGCACACACGAACATCGTCCCGCACCTCCTGTTAGCACGGCTGGCGACATACGGCGCGAAATAAGTGCAACATGCGTCCATACGAGCGAGTGTGGCATTCCTGTTGGACCCCTCTCCCCCAATGCCACACGGGCACTGACTTATTATATAACGCGCCCGCTCGCTCGCCCGTGACCCCGCGACGCCCACATGGCATGCTCGTCTCCTGGAGGCGACCGGGAGGGCCCTACGCAGAGAGCAGCCCACGGCCGAGTCAGCCCACGTGTGGCTCTCTCCTGACGGCCTAATGAAGCGGTAAGCCGAGCCAATTATCCGCCTCTCTTTGGAACCCCGTAAGAGTGCATGGGAGGATGAAATACTAATCGCTCGGCGCGTATTGATCTCCGGTACTTAAAAAGTCCTGCTGAGAGATGGCGATAATTGTCGTTGATTATTGGTGTTTTATCCTTTCAAAATACCGCACCATATGCACGCTTGGAGTCTCCACGTCAACATTTGTTGTCATCACCATCATCAGCTCGCTTGAGCAGTGACCTCTTCCAAGGATAATCCATGGACTTGCCCGTGAGAAGTAGACAAAGGTAGTGGCAGCTCGTGACATGTATTGGCTGGTAGTGGCGATGTGAGCGACTGCTCTGAGTGGTTGTGCCCAGAGTGGATCTCAGAGGCAGATCGACTCGTCAAGATTCAGGCGTGCTGCGGACACGACTGGCGCTGGGCACAGATTGTTATTGATGTTATTGTTATTTGTTGTTGTTATTTGTTGTATTTATTGTTGTATTTATTGTTGATATTGTTATTTGTTGTTATTTGTTGTTGTTATTGTTGTTGTTATTTGTTGTATTTATTGTTGTATTTATTGTTGATATTGTTATTTGTTGTTATTTGTTGTTGTTATTGTTGTTGTTATTTGTTGTATTTATTGTTGTATTTATTGTTGATATTGTTATTTGTTGTTATTTGTTGTTGTTATTGTTGTATTTATTGTTGTATTTATTGTTGTTATTGTTGTTATTGTATTTATTGTTATTATTGTTATTCCACGTCTTTGCCCAGGAAAGCCTCACCGACTCCTTTCCAGGAGGGTGCTGCCATCAGTACAGTGACACCTCGATATGTGGATCGTTGATATACGAAGTTTCATTATAACGAACTTTGTATTTGTTACCATTATTTTAAGAATAAAAATAAAGTAGAATAATAAATAAATGCCGAAAACACTAAATAAATAATTCATTTAGCGATCTCGAGTATAATATAAATAAAAATAAAATTATGTTTCTTTAATATTTTCTTTGAAATCAGTTTTATTTTATTTTAATACTGTACAGTATAAAATATAACATGAATTGTCTTTGTTAATAATATTAATGGTAAGTTATAAAGTTTAACAACATAAAAATAGGGTTTATCCTTTCTGGCAATAAAACAGGTGTTAAGATGTTAAAACACAAAACAGAATTATTTTTTTCAAGGAATGTAGCGGAATGATCCTCCTGCGACTCCGTGCGGCTCTGCCGGACACATAAGTAGCTGATTAATATTGTAATCATCACGTGCGCTTCAAGCCACTGCAGCTGACAAGCTGAGTGCTCCTCATTATTACACCACTTCACAGCAGCTTCTGTCCAAGCGCGTCTGCATCAGACGAAGCTCACAGTGAACGCCGTGCCCGGCAGGAGCTGTCCCCACGCAAACACGCAGCTCATTTAAATGCCACGTCTCCAGCTGCCAGCACGTGGCTGGCCGTGCCATTGCGGGACGCGGACGAGTCGGCGGCGGGGATCCGTGACGGGGCTCGCGACTCGGGGCTGCCGCGGCGCGTCTCGCTGCCGACGCGAACAGCTCCGCGGGCGGCGACTGAAGAACGCCGCTCGCGCGAGTGGAAGATCGCTCCGAGGTGATGATGACGACGGCGCATTGTTAGCGCCGCCGGCCAACAACAATAACAACCACAACAACCACAAGAAGAACAAGAGGAGGGAGTGTGCCCGTGGCCTCACGAGGAACGGGCCGCTGGCGGGGTGGTCTGCACGGGCCGCTGCTGCTGCTGATGCTCACAAAGGCGCAGGGCGCTGCAGGCGCTGACAGCGAATGTTGAAGCGTTAATTAAGAACTGCTGTTTTAAAGTATTGCATTGAAAGGTTCTTTGGCAGTAGTGATACCAGATGCTACGATCATACATGTTTAATGTCGTTACTAGGTCCATTTTTATGAAAGGTATGAGCTGCTCAATATTTCATGCCGTTAAAGAGTGCAGGGGGTGGGGGGGGACTGAAGCGGCGTTGATGCCGCTCGAGATTGCCGCGAGCACTCCCAGTTGATGGCGATGGCGGCGTCGTCTTCGTCTTCGGAGAAGAAGGAGGAGCAGGATGATGATGAGGATGACGATGATGAGGAGGATGATGATGATGAGGAGGATGATGATGATGAGGAGGATGATGATTAGGAGGAGGAGGATGATGATGAGGATGATGATGAGGATGATGAGGAGGAGAAAGAGTAGGATGATGATGAGGATGATGATGAGGATGAGGAGGATGATGATGATGAGGATGATGAGGAGGAGAAGGATGATGATGAGGATGATGATGAGGAGGAGGATGATGATGAGGATGATGAGGATCAGCGCCGTCACGCAGCAAGGGACGCGGCGAGCCCCAGACACCGACACCGCCACGCGTGCTGCCCATCAAATATTGAGCACCTCTGGTAAGGAGAGAAGCAGTTCAATAAACTGCAATATAATCCACTCTCCTTAACACTGGTTGCGTTAATAAAATATGATACGTAGTTTTAATAACATTAACCCGCATTAGAAACTGTATATCTCATATAAAAATAATAACAATAACTCGTTTAAAAATCACAGCATCGCACGCATCAGTTGAAGCTGTCACGCTGACGAGTGGAAACGTGCAGTGTGCGAAGACGTGAAGTGAATGCTGGCTGGAGGAGCAGATGGAGGCCTGTTGTTGAGACCCTCTGAGGGAGTGGATGGAGGCCTGTTGTTGAGACCCTCTCAAGGAGTAGATGGAGGCCTGCTTGTCGAAGGCCGCTGTGGAGCTGTGCGGAGTCACCGTGGCGCTGCTCTCAACTCCACGCAGCAGAGCCTCCGCGCCAAGTCCCGAGAATCATTTTGAGGAATGTGTCGCTGGGAATGTCTGGCCCCATTCCGTTTCTGAGCACTTCTGCGTGTGGCTAGAAATTGGAGCATCTGGAGAAACCTCATTACAATAGGAGTGGAAGACACCCTCAGCTTCACACACAGAGAGAGCGGTGGTGACGCTACTTGCTGTACTGCCCTCTCCTAGTACCTCGCTGCCCACTGGAATTACTGGTGGGCGCCACTACGCCGACTTCATTCTCACGCATTGCGACTCTCGGCCTTCTCAAGACGTGAGAGCTATTCGGTTTGAAGCGCTGCGAGGAATGAGCGTGGGTTGCAGATTGTCCACGTGCATGCCGAGTCCAGCCCAGTTCCTCTTCTCGTCTCAGCCACTCGGCCAGCTGACAAGGGCTGCGTCGATATTCGGAGAACTCGAACACTCGAAGCACATTGCTCGTTACTCCTACACTATGTTCATTGGTACTCAATGGACGTTCAATTTGCCAGCTACTTCTAGACTGCAGCAGAACATGCGATGTTCTTTCTGTAGGAGTGCAGGCAACTCCCACCACCAAATCATCTGCTTCTGCCATCTCAAATCTCCTGGCTTTGACATTCTACCTCAAGGACCCTGGTGTAACCATCAGTCGCATTAGAACATCAACAGGCCGATTTGCACATCTCCTTCATGAATTCAAAATTAAAGACAGTGCAACCCGAACTATGGACAATATAATACAATTATAGAGACACATAGAGACCCATTGAGATGCATAGAGACTCATAGAGACCCACAAAGACTCACAGAGATTCCTTAGAGACAAGCCACAGTCTTGTGGCCATGCAACCCAAACTATGGACCGTATCGCAAACCACTGTAGCCTGTGTTTATTCAACAGAGGAGGAATATCAAAACTACACCAACTCTCTCTTTTGAAGCCCTCTCGCCGTGGCTTACAGACCTCGACATTGGTATCGACCTGAACATTTTATTGCCAGTTGCACAGCCACTCCACCCAGCACTGTGGGTGCGTTACGCGCGACACTCGCGGTGCCAGTGAACGCATCCGTGACATCTGTGCCACTGCCCAGGGGAGGGTTTCTGCAGGGCCCGACAGGCAGTCCCCGTGTAGTGGCATAGAACAGTCGTGTGGCAGCATAGCGCTGGCTGCTGGCAGGGAAGGGGATCTGCGGCGTACGGCAGCCCTGACGTCAGCAGGCCACGTGACACACCAGAGGAGGGTCTCGGGAAAGGTCACAGAAGGAACCCGCTGGTAGGTTCTAGAAAGGGGGCGTGGCCGGGGCGGAGCGAGGCCACGCTGACAGTGTAAGGGGGGGGGGGGCCCTGTGGGGGACCTAGGGGCTGTCGTGGGGTCCCCGTCGTGATGCTCAAGTCCATCGTCGCCATTTTTCTCGTCGTCGTCTCCACCACCTCCGGGCCCGCCAGTCAGACAGCCTCCCAACTGTCCTGGCTGAGTAGCGTCTAAACATGACGCGTGTTGATCCCGATGGTGCTCGCTAATAAAGAAGTGCCTCCAAGTCCTATCGTCTCCGAGTTAGTCACTACACCTGTAACAGAGAACAGCAGACCCACACGTCGCTTTGAAAATAATTCAGTCAAAGTGGTTTCCTCAATGCTCTATTCACTGGTTAACAAAAGATGAATGATCTGTGTTTGTACGTTTCTGTCCAAACAGATAGCCCAAACAAACACCACGTGGGTCAGAGAGAAAAGCGCTCAACCAACGTCTACTGTGACATGTGATGGGCTGAGATACATCAATGAGGCAACAGAGTTTCATCTTTAAAAAGTGTCTGAGTTATCAACAATACTTTGAAGTGCCAAAACAATCTTCATTAGAACGAAAAGCCAAGGACTCAATGCATTTGAGAGTAAATTGAAAATGCCTCTAGATACACAAGACGACTAAAACATATTTTTTGTGACAGATTAATTACTTTAAAGCCATGCAATACATCTCACGGACACACGCAGTCTACCAACCCAAGCCAGCTGTGTGCGACGTGGCCCCCACGGAGTTCACTGCCACCCCGCAGGTCGAGAGGGCGGCACCCGAGGTGGCCAAACATGGCATCAATTCCATGTTTGTGGCCGACAGAGGCTTTCATGTCGTCCAAATATCCCTGGCGGGAGACGAGTTCATAAACTCATCCAGTGGCGGCTCGCGACATCCCCACGAGGTGGGGCTGTTGTGAGCGACCTCTGAAAATATGGTGTTCTTATTCATCAAAACGTCGTCATGTTATTGGGCTTCCCGTGAAAGTGATACACAACTATCTTATCTACCAACGGTCTGGCATTTATAAACAATACGAAACAAAACAACAAAGCACTCGAATGCCGTCCCCATGACCCTCAAGTCCACACTACACAACCCCTTTGACACTGCCAAAAGCAGGGAGAGAGCGTGCGGACCGTGAGCTGCTGCATTTGCAGTGCCACCTCGCGTTGCGACATCGTCTCTCATCACAGCCACGGCGCCTTCTGCACCGCCCTCAATGTGTCTCAAGCGGCGTGGCTCCACTGCTCGTCGCAGTGAACGAAGACGGGAAACCTCTCACTCGGAGGACGCCTTCACGGCCGCCCCGAGACCTCCCCGGGGCACGACTGTGGTGCTGCAGCCGTTTCTCACATGAACAACTCAAAATGTGATCTTCATTGGGAAATTCACGTTGAAAGAATAATTATATTTACATTTATTTAAACACAACTAAACAATTTATCGAAAAGTATTTTGATGAGAAAATCAATGTCTCACCTGCAGCTGCTTGGAGCGACGGTGTCCCAGCGGCCCCCGAGTGCCGAGTCGCGCCTGAACGCCTCCTCCGTCACTTCGCTTGCAGCGGGAGGCGGCACAACTCAGTGGATTTGACGACGAATTTGGGAATTGTTTTATCTTAAAATAGACATGCGCTCCTGCAACAGCCCCGGCCTATAGGCGACCTGCACGTTTCCATACCCTCGCTGGAGCCTCCTTATTGGAGCCGTCTAATCGTACGGGCTGTGTCATGTGTCGCTTATTGCTGCGGATTTGTCATCCACTGTGACCTCAAGGCATTGATTTTAGAAAATATATGAATGACAAATAGACACTCATCTTCATTGAGAGCACAGTGTGTGTACATCCTGTGTGTGAACCCGTGCTGAATCGGAGCCTTCTCTCATCCAGGAGCGTGCTTGGCATCCTTCACCGTGCTGGACATTGCGGGTTGGTGCACGCTGGAAGCAGAGAGACTTGTGCGAGGGCTATCAGGAGTACAACACACTTGCATCGGCCCAGCAGAGTCCAACCGCAGCGACTCTGAGTTCTGGGACGTCGTGCGGAGGACCGCACCGCGAGTGTCGCTGCCAGAGTCGGCACCGACAACTGAGGCGGCCCTGCCGCGAGCCACACGCAGCTCCACCTCGCCGCACGTGCCTCTCACTCCACGTGTGACGTGTCTCTCATTCCACGTGTGACGTGTCTCTCATTCCACGTGCGACTTGCCTCTTCATTCCACGTGTGATGACGGAGTGGCTTCTGCCGGCTTCTATTCGCCGCGTTGCTTTTCTTCATTAGTTTTCCGTAAATATATAAATGTGTCATTAAACTCGCCACCACCCGACACAGCCAACTAGTAAGGGTTGTCACGTGAACAGAACGTGGCCAATTCATCACTAGTACAGCACTATGTGTTGGAGAGCCAAGCCACATTTACAATCTGAGTACGACGTTTCGCCTGTAATTACAATTAGCTTCATCAGGCGACAGCCAGATTTTATTTTTCGTAATTTTAGAGCCCCGGCTCACTCTCACAAATCGGACTCCAACCTGCTCTTCTAGAGTCCTCCTCACCTGGTTGCACAAACCAACTTGACGGGACTGCAACAAGCGGGTCCCTGTACGTGCGTCCGACTTATCTCGCACCGTACGCAGCCAACGGTGCTGATCGGAGGTGCGGAGGCACCTGGTGGCCACCTGGGCTTGTCGGGTGGCGGCGGCAGCGCGAATCTGCGGGGTCCGAGTCGGCCCACGGGCGTGGCCGGGCCCACACGCGTGGCCGGGCCCAAGGGCTCGTTACGCCGCTGAGGGACACGAGGACACATTTGAGATTGGGACGATGCCTATTGCTGTCTGACCACGTCTCGTTATCATGAAACGGCTTCATACGCACCGCGTATCGAACAAGGGCCAATTCAGGAGGCAATGCAGCCCAACGTTTGCTAGAGACGCAGCAAGCGTGTAATTGGGGTTGTCATTGCACATGGCAGATGTTAATGAAAAGGCAACTTCTACGCTCGATTCTTTTTACAATCCACTGATTAGCCAGGCTGCGAAATACGTTTTAGAACTATTGCCGACACATTCCAACTAAGAAACAATTTCGATATCTCCCCGAATGCGTCGATGCGAATGACACGGGGCACTGTTACGGCTTGTACGAACATACGGAGGGAAGTCGTCACTGTTTGTTACGTCAGTAGCGACGCTCGGAGCGACCCGGACACGCAGCAAGCTGCGGACACCGCCATGCCTGACAGGGACTGCTCACCCCGGCCTCAGAGGGACACATCATCACCCCGGCGTCCTGGAGCTCGTCGCCCGGTGCTAATGGCTGCAGGGAGCACGATGTACAATGACGCAAGACTACTGCTGCAGTTTCTTCCTGCTTAATAAAATATTGCCATCGATTGCGAGATTGAATCCTTGGTGTGAGCAAAGCTGTTTGTCTGCCCCACCTATTGATCACTTCAAAAGAAGCACTTAATAGGCATGCGCGTGCATTCACGGTCAGAGTAGCATATTCCCAGGGACAGCATAAATAAGGCTGGGCCCCTACTTATCTCTGAGAAAATGAGCTTCATGTGACCCTGAGCTTTCTGCAGGGCGAAGGGCAACAAGCCATCTGTTCAGCGTAAAGCTTTGAAAGAATGTGGGCGAAGCACGCGCTTTTCACTGTACGGTGTTGACATTCTCTGGCGTCTGCCTCCTGCTTTAATTGCAAAGTAAACAGCGTGTGCACGAAACGATGCACTGCAAGTATCGAGTCGAAGACAAAGTCACCTGGCACGTGCCCGATCTTGTCAGATCTGGATTGTCCTCGGACAGGCCTCCACCAGGTATAACAGGTGTTACAGACTGCGCGGCCTCCACCAGGCATAACAGGTGTTACAGACTGCGAGGCCTCCTCCAGGCATAACAGGTGTTACAGGTGTTACAGACTGCGAGGCGATGTTGGCAGCAGAGCTCAGTGTAGCATAGTCCAGTGTTGCACTGTGATTCTATATTCCCCTCAAGTGGATGCTCTCCACCTTCACCACCTGTACCGAGCGGCACGGTGACAGAACCGCACGGCGTGAGGAGCTCCCTCACGAAGCAGCGGATGAGCGCAAGGCATGGACATGCGTGGAGCGGGGCGACACGGTCACCAGGGATGGCGGTGCTCCGCGGGGTTCAGAGGAACGGTTCTGCTACTAAGCTGGGTTGGCACGTCCCACTCGATCCCAACCGAATTAGCTAAAGAGGCTTTAGTAATGTTCCACTGCACACACTAACCCAGATACACATGTCCTGTGCTGTTGCAGTTGTGTCAAAAAATATTTTCGTGTGAAATGCATTTAAGATGAGGACAAAAGTCAGCTCTCAGTTGAAAAACTGTCAATGGGAAATCCAGATGTTACAAAGTTTAACAATTGTGTTTATTAAGGCAACTTCACTGCAGACATAATGGAGTACAGATTTAGAAGTGATGATTTTATTGATTTGACGTCAAACATTTCCAAAATATTCATCTGTGGTGAACATGTGAGCAATTCGAATTTACAACCTCCGGCAGGGCTCGGTGCAGCTTCATTTGGTAAACCGCTCATTCATCGGGAATGCTCCCAGCTCGCCGGTAACAAGTGCACGCCAGTTCACCGGGACCGTCAATGCACGTGCAATCAACAATTACAGGGAAACGCTCTCTGCCTGTTGCCTTCGCCACTAACTGCCGCTGCGAGGTCAAGATGCAAACTTGTGTGCACAATCAACAAAAAGATCAATAATTAGCTTCGATGAAAAACAAACATCTTTAATCTTTAATGTTTTGTATAAAAAGCTGAAAAATAACGAGACGCGTGTACAAACCACATACTCTGATTAACTTTGTACAATGTTTATAGGGGGGGAGAGGGAGAATATGCCACCTGGACTCTCAGACAAATCCTCAACCCTACGTCCGATTAAGGGCACGAGTACGATCGTTTACTTGAAGCAGTCCTGTCCCTTTCAGCATCCACAGCCTTGGAGGAGAGCTCGTGGATTAAGCAATAGCCTTAGCTTCAGGCAGAAAGGCCTCCCAGTATTTGATCAGCTGGAACAACAAAGAACGCCGGGGGGATTACAACGAGCGACAGTTTTACAACTCGCACACCGAGAACGCGAGTGGTGGACTGCAAAATAGAACACACGAGGTGACCAACGATTGCGGAGTTTTCATTCCAAATACCACTACCACCCCCCCTCGTGCCTCTGGAGGCTTTCAAACCTATCAGGCTCCTGGCTCCCTTCACACAGCGATAGGTGGCGCTCAATCACTGCCCCGCCACTCTGCATGGAGCCCGTTAAACATGGAATTATTGTTCGACATTCGTGGAGTTCACCAGAAATAGTCACCACCCACTGAGCAGGCCGAGCAGGTTGTAAACACCAACCACAATGCACCGAAACCCCAGCGTTGAGCGCTCACCCCCAGCGCCAGGAGCACCGTGGGGTCAGGGGTCAGGTCACGCTCCCTCTGGCACCGCTCTCCGCCTGCTCCTTAACAACTCCTCCACACCGAGTCTCAATCGACTGCCGCCTCCACGTGCCACCCAACCCAGATGCATTCCTATCTCGTTGGCCAAGATGCAATCGCCAGTTGCACCACTCCCAGCGGTGCAACTCTCTTCTATTAATCGTTGCCCTTTCCAGCTCCTTTCCACATGAGCAACACTTACTTTTGTCTTTTGCCAGCATGTAAAAATTAAAATGACATCTTACAGATTCACTGTTTTTGTCATGCAATCTTTCAAGATTGCTCCAACTTCATCTGATGTGAGATGCATATTCATGAAGAAATTAATTCGGCCCATCACAAGTGTTGATAACATTTACCTGTTGCTGCGTGTTTATAAGAGACTCAATGTATCTGACAATCCCATTCTTGAAGTCCCTCACACGTTCTTTCTGTAAACATATAAAAGGCAAGAAATGTAAAAATAAAATTGCATTCAATAAATACGTATAATTTGAGATAACAATCTCATAGAAGATATCACCTTTGAAATAATATATTTTGCAATTATGGGAAGAAATGTAATCACACACAAAGCAGATGTGTGCAATGCAGGCACCTCAAATCTCATGACCTCCTTCCTGATGGTCTTTGAGACGATTTCAAACTCGCTCTCTCCTTGCTGCACCTTGGCATCCCACTGCTCGCAAAGGCAGATAACAACCATACACCATTTGCTATGTATGCAAAAAATATTACAATTCATGCTACTTAACATAAGCGATTACTGAATTAGATTTTGATCCTTAAAATGTGACAATTCATCAAATTGCCGAGGAGATTAATCGTTAAAACCTAGCTAAGCGGGGCAAATGCTGGGCACAACCGGACCAACCGGTGTCTCCCGACTGGCCTGCCCATTTCCCCCAACAGAGCAGCGCGCAAGGCGCTGCACGAATCCCGCAGAACGCAGCTGCCGGGAGCCGTGAACGGACCCGATATCGAGGGTGAGGGGATAACTGGACCCTGCGATAAACCCCGAGGCAGCTCCGGGGCCCGCCCCGTGGTCCTGCGCGAGGTCGGCGGACCCACCTCGCGGATCTCGTCCTTGGCCTGCTGCAGCTTGTCCGGCTTGTTGGCCCACTGTAGCTTGGCCTCGTTCTCGCGCTTCTTGTGCAGGTTGGCCTGCGCGTCCTGCCACCTCTGCCAACTCTTCGCCCGCTGGTCAAACACGCCCTGCGGCAAGAGCAAGCACGCAAACCGCGAGTTCGCCTCGTGGCCTCGAGGTTACGGAGGGAGGTTAATTCCGCGCGTGCCACCGGGCGCGCCACCGGGCGCGCGTCGCGCGTACCCGGATGGAGGTGAGCAGGCGGATGTAGTCGGCGAGCAGCTCGGCGAAGACGTAGAGGTCGGCGTTGGCCTGCTCCTGGTGCAGGCCGTCGATCTTCTCCTCCACCTCCGCCAGCTGCGAGAGGGCGCGCGACAGCGCCGTGTTGTCCTCAGAGTTGCCC